TTAAAGGACTTCCTAAAATTATCTAGTATTAAATGAACTTTTTTTTTTAATTTAACTGCTATCAAACTGCTAAACAAATTAAAGTAAACTTATGTGAACACAACTTATTTTACAGTTAATTCTAACATAAGCAAATTAACGAAAATAGGTTGGTTATATAAACCGATCTGAGAGATCGATTGAAGATAGAAGACGGCGCGTAATCAAATTCGAAATATGTTTATCAGGTCCCCCGAAACGGATGTGATTCGCATGTATCAGTGGCACAAGACAGCTTGCTTGGCTTAAATGCTCTGATCTTCGCAGAATGGGATCTAGCAGCAATCCCTTGCACTTGGATAACGCCAGGAACTATGCAGTTTTTAAAGATTCTATTCTATTCTGCTTTTCAGTGCCCCTGTGGCACTTGCGATACGTTTGTTTAAAGTCAAACGCCTGCCTAGTGCACCCCTAACATTAAATGAATGTAATAGATTTTCGAAAATTTAATATTTCAAAATTTAAAAAAAAAAAAACACAGAATAATTTATTTTACATTTAAAATGTCTATGACATTTATGTCACTTGCGGGCTTGCAACATGTTTAGAGAAATTCTCAACATATCTGATTTTCGACTCATTCATTATTAAAAAAGCCTTAAAGTATGCTTTTTAGATTTTGTGTAAATTGGCATCGAAATCGAAATGCAGGAGAGGCCTCTAGAGGGCGCTTTGAAGCTAAATATATTGTATTGATATGTGGAAATTACACAATAATAAAAGCTTTGCCAATATAGCTTAGTATTAAATACTCAAATGGTGAGATAATCCCTTCCGTTTGGTATATAGGTCGAATTGCCCAATGGTGTTCAAGTGAGCAGCAAACTGTACCTGTGGGTCGCTTGAGAAGTCGATCGCATGGACTTGCTTGACATGCTGCCCAAAAATAATACACAAAAAAGCAATTAGCCGTTGCAAATCCAGCCAAAATAACAAGGGAAAAGGAACAACAGAAGAAAAAAGAAAACAGAACTGAAGAAAGGTCCAATAATAAATAAATAAAACTTAAAGCAACTTACATTAATGAGGGCGGTTGGCGCCACTTGGCATGACAAACATGTGGCGCACGTGGCAAGCACACACAAGCAAAAGAAGCTGCAAGGAAAGCCACATCCACACTCGCCCCCCCTCTCGACCGCATGAAGCACTAATTCCCTAACATGTCACGAATCATATTGAACATGCTGCTCCGCCTGAGCCTGTGCCAAATGATGATGACGCCCAATGATGAGGCGAACAATTGGCTGAGCTGGGCGGCAGCACTGAAGATAGGGCAGGCCGACAGACATCATAGAAATTAAGCCAAGTGTTGTCTGCTTCCGGCCAGCGTTTAACTCATTTTCTACATGTGCTGCATATTAAGGAGCGCTCAAATGTGTGCTATGATTTTTTCTTAACGCTTTTCTCCTCCAGGCGAGTCCATTTGGACTGCTCATTTAAGGCCACGTCAAGCATTGGCCCTGGCAATTATATTGCCCTCGACGTATGACGTGCAATTTGTGCAATTTTTCACAAATTTTCATGCATCATTCTTCACCTGCCCGCGCCTCCTTCCGCCCATCCCACTTCACGGACATTAATTATTATTTTGCTCGCACATTTCGCTGATTTATTGAGAGCTCGTTGCGGGCCATATTATTCTGCAGCTGCAGCAGGGCCCGCTGCCCCAGCAATCAGTACAGCCAACACAACAGCAGCAAATGCCAAAAAAAAAAATTAAATTTAAAAAGAGTGCAAATAAATAAAACGAAAATGCATTGCAAATGAAATAAAATTACATGCACTTCCACTTGAGAAAGCAGCGTCAGTTTCTGCAAAAAATGATTAAATAATCAACAGCTCTCTCTCTCTCTCTCTCGCCCCGCACAATAAACCCAGGCCGCAAAAAAAAACTAGGTAGACAGATACGCATTTACTCTTGCCACAGATCATATACCCCCTGTGCCACCGCTGACAACTTGCCACTGCCCGCTGCTCGTCCCAGGACCCACATTAAAAGGCTGCACATTCAACCGCCATTAAGTCAAATGGATGAGCTTGTGTGTAATAAAATTTTTTATTATCATCTGTCTCGCGCTGAAGTGTTCGCCGGAGCAAAAAAAAAAAAACAAAAATGGACAGCAACAACAACAAAAATGCTGGCAAAATAGCAACTGAGCTGGCAAAATATTTGAACAGTTTGTTTGAATTGCCCAATGCCCTGCAGTCTTATAAGTAATTTTTATTCATATTTTTAAGTAATATTATTGCTTTATATATATCCGCATTAATTTTTATACATTCTAAGTACGCGTCATATAATATCATATAGTCAAATGCCTTTATATAATATTCATTTTCAAGAATCAAAAACTATAAATATGTATATACTTTTGTCAAATATAATTTTTGTCTCTTCTAAATATAAAGCCAGGCATCATTTTTTACATTTTCTTCTCCACTTAACAAAATTTCCAAAAATATGAAAGTTATCGAAATACTTGAGATAATTTCTAATAAAGAAACATTTAAAAAATATTTCGATTTGTTTTAAGAACTGAACTTCCACAAGTTATGTAGGTAATGTGACCGCAGGATCGTCGCTGCTGCTGGATTGTCTTGGTATCATTTCAAACATCAGACAGACAGTCGGAAATGATGGTCACAACAGCAACAATGACAACAACAACAACAAGAGCCACAGCAGCGGCAGGGCAGCAATAACAACAACAAAAGCGACAGCCACAAAATTTCGGAAAACAATTTTTTTATTTGCCGCGCAATTTTCACTTTGTGTGCGGCCAGAAATATTTTTATTTTTTATTAATTTCTTTATTTCGCTTGTTTTATTTTTGTGTTTTTTAGTTTTATGGCATTTTAAAAGTAGGCAGCTCGCGTCACAGCCGCCCCGCCCCGCAACTCCAACTTCTCGGCAGCTGCATGGACAGACTGAGGCCAGGCGCCAGGCGCGCATTTCACACTCGACTGGCGCGAAAATTCATTAAAAAATTGTGTTTAACATGCCAAAAATTTTCGTGCAATTTTTATTGCGGCCCGCGTGCTGCTGGAAACGTGCACATTCCATATCTGCTGGCCGGGTTTGGGCTGCAGGTCTTTCAGCTGGGCCGTAATTGCAGCACTTTGAGTTCATTTTTTGACATTTATTTGACGCATGGCGTTAATAAATTCAGCAAGCTGCAATTGTCGGCTGGGGTCGGGGCACGAGCTTTGACCCCATTTGGGGCACTTTCATTGGAATTTCTAATTTGGAACAGGCAAAGTAGGCGCCACTTGAGACCCAACTGGAATGAATGCTGTCAACGGCAGGCGCGATACCAATCAGCGGGCGGCCCCAGTCCTGGCAATATGTAGAAAACAATTTATTTTTGCCTGCCAGTGCAGAAGGACTCGCCGAACAATGCCAAAGAGGCCTTGTGACAGCCACATCGACTTCGACTCCGGCTACGTCTTCGTCGTCGTCTTGACATGCCACCCTTGAGCGAAATTCATTTGTTATGCAAGCAACATTTCCGTTTCCGGTTAACGCAGCACGACTCGGCCAAAAAGAATGAAACGTCAAATGCCGCAAGTAATTTGCATTCGTACCCTGATTAATTGACGCCCCACTCTTACTGAATTTGCGCGTTTACGATATGATTCCATTTGCAGTACGTTACTCGTAAACCGGTTAAGAACTTAAATTTCTAAGCAGTTTATAAATATTATTTACAAATTTGATAAGTTTTATTTATATATTTCTTTCTTGTTTCTGAATTATTTTTTGTTTACTTGTCTAGCAATAGAATACCTTCTTAAAGCTGTGCACAGTCAAAATGTTAAAAGTCTAGGCTGAAAAAAAAATCAACCAATAAGCTTGGAATTTATTATTGTAAAAGGTATTGTGAATTTGTTAGACATTTGTAACGAGTAGAAGAAGACACATCCGACCCAAGAAGTACATATATTCTAGATCAGCATCAACAGCCGAGTTGGCATACCCATGTCCGTCTGTCCTTCTGTCTGTTTCTATGCGAACGTGTCTCTCAGTTTTAAAGTTATCGTATTGACACTTTGCATAGCTCCGTCTTTATGCAGCTGGTAGTTTGCATGTTTCGAATCGGCTAGTTCGGACCACTTTATTTTATTCTGTTTCCAAAAATACTTTCATCAAACTCAGCATTTACCTACTTCACTATTTTCACATATCTGCAAAATGACAATGTCTTCAAGGGCATTAAATCTTCGGCGTGCTAAAGATATCCCAACTTTTTCGTTTTTATACCCTGAACCCATTGAAAATGGGTAAAAAGGGTATTATGTATTTGTGCAAATGTATATTACAGGCAGAAGGAAGCATCTCTGACCCCATAAAGTATATATATTCTAGATCAGCATCAACAGCCGAGTCGATCTAGTTCTGTCCGTCTGTCTGTCCGTCTGTCCGTCCGTCCGTCTGTCCGTCCGTCTGTCCGTATGTATGAACGCAAGGATCTCAGAACCTATAAGAGCTATAAACTTGAAATTTTAGCTGTAGGTCCTCCTAGTGCCCGCGTAGACCGAGATTCGTGTCCAAGAAATCGATATAAATCGATATCGAAATGTTGTTTTTTAGGCAATTTCGGTAAATAATAAGAGCTATAGTCACCAAACTTGAAATGTAGCTTCGAGAATAGTATATGAATATCAAGTATCTTTCATTTTATACCTATCGCCACCTCCAACTTGTATAACCCATCAATTTACGCCAAATTAATCTGCTTCACCTGAAATTGAAAGATAATTTACGTTGCTAATACGATTAGCTCCAGCTCCTCAAACTGGCTATAAAAGCTGCGTGCTATTACACTTCAAGCAAAAATTAACAATAATGAAACTCGTTTTTCTTATTTTAACTCTTATGTGGATGGACGAGTTATTTAAAAAGGGGCAAACGAAAAAAACAGGATAAAGGAATTCAATATGAAGGAAAGATAAAAAAAAAATATGATATCAATAATTGATTTTTAATTAATATAACTCTTTCAATCCTTTATTCAAAGGACCTAAACAGATATCTTTTTTGTTTGGAATCGATGCTTGTGATCTTTCATAGTATAAGAGCTAGAGCCTCAATTTCCTTCCACACAGCCAACACACATCGCAAATATCTGTATTAGACAACTTCACGGCTTGCGAGAATTGAGAAATATTATTATAGATTTGATAACTCATGTTACTCCCCACAAAGTGAAAACGGATGTATTGATTTTCAACTATATCCGTTTTAATGTCCATCTGCAACAACTCTGTTCTTACCTTCTTCTTTCATAACTTCTTACCTATTTTTTCATAATTCCTAACAAGGCAGAAATTAAAAGAATAAAAACTTATTACGAGGAACTATATTAGATGCTTTGTATGTTAGACGTCCATAAAGAAATTTATAAATAAATAATTATATATAAAATTGATCCAGAGTTAAATTTTAAATTTCACTTTTACCTTAACATTTTCTTCTGAAGTTTAAAGATCAGGGTATAATGTATTTGTACAAATGTATGTAACAGGCAGAAAGAAGCATATCCGACCCCATAAAGTATATATATTCTTGATCAGCATCAATAGCCGAGTCGATCTAGCCATGTCCGTCTGTCTGTACGTCCGTCTGTGCGTCCGTCTGTCCGTATGTATGAACGCAATGGTCTCAGAACCTATAAGAGCTAGAGACTTGAAAGCTTAAGCTGTAGGTCCTCCTAGAGCCCGCGCAGATCGAGTTTGTTTGCGATATTCGATAACTTGTCCCGTTTCAAAGTAATCGATTTAAATCGATATCGAAATCCTGTTTTTTTGAGCAATTTCGGCAACTAATATGAGCTAGAGTCTTCTAGAATAGTATATATATATATAGAAGTATCTTTCATTTTCTATCTATCGCTACCTCCCCGCTACCACCACAAAGCTATAAATCAAGTTAATTATCCAACTTGTATTGCCCATCAATTTAAGCCACAATTTATATGCAATTGACTTTTTGAGAATACACAAATATTCTATATTCTATTCTTTAATAAGATGTACTGTCGAAAATTTCATTAAGATCGGTTAAGAAACACAAAAGTTATGTGCGCACGTGTTAGCAGCAGCTAGCGCAAATTCCAAGAGTTTCTGTATGCATGAACACACACACATTCATGCGCGTCTGCTTTGAATTCTATCAACAGCATTGCAATTGCGATTGTATTGTTTTCTGTGCTTTTATTTAAATTTGTTTTTTTCTCATTAAGACTCAATAATTGGTGTGGCTGTTGGGTAGAGGCGTCGGCAGGTAGTGCGGTTAGTTGCGAGTTCGAACCCTGCCAAGAAAACGTTTTTGTTTTAAATTTACCTTTATTACTACTAAAGCAAACGAGCGCGAGCTGCATTTGATGTTGGAAGAAGAGGGTTCAGGACTATAACCTCTTACTTGTTATTTTTATTCTCCAGACTGTTATATCCCGGATATAGTATGGCTTTTAAGAAACGGATTAAGTTGAATAGCTTTTATGATGATAATACTCTCCAAGTGCGATGAGGAAAATTACCCAGAAGTTATAGTATCCACCAGTGCTCTTTTATAGTCCCACAAACTTTGAGATGTATTTCTAATTTTTACTTATTTCTTGACCAGCTGACCTTGATCCGCATATAGATTTTGTTTTGCATTCCAAATACTAATGAATGTAGAAAAAGAAATATCTAATGAAAATTAAACGTAAGTATTTCCATTATATAACCCACAAATTAATCTGTTTCACCTGAAATTGAAAGATTATTTACATTGCTAATACGATTAGCTCCAGCTGCTCAAACTAGCTATAAAAGCTGCGTGCTATTACACTTCAAGCAAAAATTAACAATAATGAAACTCGTTTTTCTTATTTTAACTCTTATGTGGATGGAGGAATTATTAAAATTAGGGAAATCGAAAAGAACAGAATAAAGAAATTCAATATGAAGAAAAGATAAAAAAAATATGATTTCAATAACCGATTTTTAATTAATATAACTCTTTCAATCCTTTAATCAAAGGACCTAGACAGATTTCTTTTTTGTTTGAAATCGACCCTTCTGATCTTTCATAGTATAAGAGCTAGAGCCTCAATTTCCTTCCACACAGCCAACACACATCGCAAATATCTGTATTAGACAACTTCACGGCTTGCGAGAATTGAGAAATATTATTATATGATTTGATAACTCATGGCTCTCCCCACAAAGTGACAACGGATGTATTGATTTTTAATTATATCCGTCTGATCCTGATCTTTCATAATTCCTAACAAGGCAGAAATTAAAAGAATATAAACTTATTACGAGGAACTATATTAGATGCTTTGATATGTGTACCAGGAGCTCAAGAAATGATACGCCTTCAATCTCCAGGGATCGCTTTTTCGTAAGTAACTAATCACTTGAGAGAAAAGTATTGCAGTACCAAAAATTTTAATCCATTTGTACAAAGTTATACTTCTACTAGAGAATGCAAATCAATCTATAATCGATTTACAACCCTGTATCACAATTTGCCGAATTGATAAAAAATAAAACAATGTATACGAAAGAATTGACTAAGCATATTATGGTGATATTAAATATCAAATGCAAAACATTGGTGCACTTTTATTTTCAAATTATATGCATTTGATGATATATGTGATATATGTGATATTCATATTTACAAACTAGGATCTGGCCCTTCTTTTAAATTGCAGGTAAGAGTACATAAGATCCACTTCAGCACACACTATAAGAGTTTAATTAAATTGCATTGGCGATGCCGACTTAACATTACATGAAAATAAGAAACGAATTTCAGGCTGGCGTCTATACGTAGTATATCTAATTAAAAATTGATATGCAACAACTTTATTATATGTTATTTACTTAAATTTCACTCAATATTTTCTGATTTTTGTTTTAATCTTTTGCTGGCTCTGATTGTATGCTCCGTCATATAAGTATGACTAATTATGTTCGCAACGCTGAAAACCCACTTTACACTAGAGATGGTCACGGTTCGTGTTTTTCTCCTGTGACCAATGAGCCGTCTACGCAAAATAAATGCACGATAAATAATAATATTATTTATTAATTAATATTTCAAGAGGATGTGGGCATTCGACTGTAAGGAAAATACTTTTTATGTGGTTGAAGGAATGCTTACATATGTTTTTTTTTTTTATCAATTTTGAATCAATCTGAATCGTCATATTATATCTTATTTTAACTCATTTGTTCTACGAGCTGAATTATAATTTTTAAAATTAAGATCAAAAAGTATATGCAGTATACTCTGATTCTGTCAAAAGCAATACATGAAATTGATTCAGAATGATTTTTTAAATTTTTACTTTTACCTAAGCATTTTCTTCTGAAGTTTTAAGATGTGTACTTTTTTGCGCAATTGATTGGAATTCATATGTACATAATATGCTTAAACGTAATAAGCTGACGCTAGATTTGTCTGGAATCAGGAGTATATTTTTTAGCAACATATTATTCAAGCCATACCCCACAAGTTTTTTTTAACATATGTACGACTTATAACGGTAATCCGCAAAGTTTTTTTTCCATCATTTAAACAAATTACTAGCAAAAATAATGAAATAATTGTACGCAAAGCAACTTAAATGTATTTTTTTTATGAAGCAAATAACAGATTTTTATAACCATTCAAAATGGTTAAAAATTGTATAATGCATTTGTGCAAATGTATTTAACAGGCAGAAGGAAGCATCTCCGAGTTCGAACCCTGCAAAGGGAACGATTTGTTTTTTATTTTATTGCAAACGAGCTGCATTTTGTGATGGAAGAAGAGGGTTCAGGGTATCCCCTAGTCGGGAGCTCCCGACTAGAACCTCTTACTTTTTTCTATTAAAAAAGCTGACCAAAATAGGACTGAACCGACAACACGAGCTGAAGCTTATTTTTGCATTAAAATTATTTGATTTAAAATAAAAAACTTTTGCAGGATATCCAATGCGAAAGCAAATAATAAGTGTACCGTAACAATTGCAACTTTTGTAAGATGCCAATTTTGGGTAGATATTTTGAAATATAAAAATAAAATAAATATATTCTTTAAGTGTATGACAAAGGCTTAAATCGAAGCCTGGGTTTACGGATATGATAAGCAAGGTTCGTGAACATAACTTAAGGGCAGTAGGTTGGCTTAAATTTTGAATTGATTTGGATCTAATGTACAAGCTGTCGCTAATATTTATGCAAATATTTACTGAGATTCATTGATATTTCTAATTTGATATTTAATTTTCAGCATATGGAGAAGACCCGAAAGAGCTTACGTGTGTGTTTAGTGTCCATATAAAAAAATATCTTGAATTTGTGTAAGAACCCATAAACAACACTGCCACATCAATCAGGAATAAATACATTACCATTACGCTGAATTAGATTGCTGTGCTGTTAAGCTACTTGTTCAGCGTGTAGCGACATATTTCCAGCTTACTGCTAAGGCAAGTGAACTGGGTCACATCAAGTGTAATGCCTGTTTCCTGTTTAGCCAGCACCCAACATTGCGTATACGTAATGCAATTTAGTGCACAGCTCCTCGCATTTGGCGAGACAAGCGAAAACAAATAGTTGTTGCGATTGCCAGTATGCAAATGCATTTGCACAAATATTTCTAGCCATATACAAGCTTTATTTTTAGCCAGCTAATTTGCATGAGTGTCGCAATGCAGTGGCCGATTTTCCAAAAAAGCGCAATAAAAAATTGCATATTAACGAGCGGCGAAAGGTTAAGCCAAAAGAACACCGTGTGGCCAACACGTAGCTGCAATAAATAACTGAAACTATGCCGAGTACTTCATCATTGTTTGGCAATTAATGAGTATGCAAGAAAGGTGGGTGCGGCACATAAAAGCCAGCTGCTACATACATGCTGCACGGCAAGTGCCACAAAATGGTGCAACACTGCAGCGTCTGCTGTCAAGTCAAGTCCGCAACACGTTGCCTCCTTTGATGATTTATCATCGCTCATGAGTGCACCAAGCTGATGATGACGACGGCGATGATGATGATGTTGATGATGTTGATAAACAGCTGCCTCGAGCCAAGTGCTTGTCTCTCTTCTGTCTGCCTGCCTGAAGGATGCAGCATCCTTGTCGGGCGCTAATGTCTATTTAGATGCGCTTGGCTGGCGTTTAAGCGTTGCATTTAAGTTTTTACTAATTTATGCAGAGTGTTTACACTTGCTCCGCTGCCAACCGCCCTAGACCCTTGATTAAGTTAAGCTGCAGCTCTCTCGCTCGCACACACTAGTGCTTAGTTGCATTAGTTGCCATTCAATTAGATGGCAACACTTTCAGTTATCGCCACGCCACACAAGAGTTGCCAGAGGTGGCTTAAAGTTTATTGAGATTACAGATTGACAGAGCTGAGAACTTTGCTTCTGGTCTGCACAAGAAACTTGTCGGTTAGCTAAGCTCACAGAGATTTAAAACAGATTTTTCTCGAAAAGATTTTTATATATTTTTTGGTTTTGAATATATATGGAGAAGTGGCTTGAAGTTATATTATTCTAAAAATCAAAACAATTTTATTTTATATGCCAGTTTTTTTAATGTTAGCTCCAAAATGCCTGGAAATCAATGTACTTGCATTTTTCCTTTCACACATGCATTTTGACAATTAATTAAATAGGTAATTAAATATACCGTTATATATATTATTAAACTTCCAACACAATCAAATTTATTTCCCAAAATTGCTTCATCTCAAATTTTTTATTCTTGATTGGCGAGTTTGATTTTTATTAAAGGCGTCATGAAATAAGATTTGAATTCTTATGCTTAATGAAAGCCTAAAGTGTGGCTTGTGGCAGCAACAGTCAAGTGTTGTTTCCATTTAATCAAGTTGAGCAATTGCCATAGAACCCTCGTGGAATTGTTGGCACAAATTAAATACTCTGACTCTGGTGCTTTGGCCAAGTGTCTGCCTGTCCGCCGTTCGGCCATCAGCCAATTACTTGGCGCAGCACTCAGGATATTAGTTAGCTGCAAATGTCTCAAATAAACAGGCAACACTTCACAGAGCCGCAGCGACAGCGAGGGTCAGAGTCGGAGTCGGAGTTAGCGCCAGACCCAAAGCCAAGGCTAGGGCCAACGCCATATTAAAGCCAATGAAGCAGCTGCTGGAACTGAGCAGCCGCATCTTTGGCATCTTCAGCAGCCGGTAATGAAGACATTTTGAATAGCACAAAAACAAACAAGCGAAGCAAATGCCATCGCAATCGCCAATGCCAACGCCAGTTCCTGTTCCTATTCCCGTTCCCTGATGCCTGTTGCCTGTGTCCCAGGTAAAAATAAATTGTAAATAATTCCGTTTATGCGGCATGCGACTGCGAAGACAAAACACATAAAACTGCCAAGCAGTTGAGCCAGTCCAGGGTATGGGGCATCAGCGGCAGCAGCAGCAGCGAGTGGGTCGTTGAGGGTTTGCCGACCCAAGTGCTGTTAGAATTTACTACCAAAACCCGGCGGCCAGGTTGATCAAGCCCTGGGATGGGGCAAGACAGGGGCCGGGCGGTTCAGTGCTGTGCTGTGCTGTGCTGTGCAGACACTGCAGGTCATTTTCATGGCTGCCGTGGCATACGTAATTGAATAGCAGACAACAAGTCCAGCCCCATACCCGCTCAATCCCTGTCGCTGGCC